TATACCTTGATTTCTCCCACAGTTTGCTCTTATCAACTGGAACATAATTACATTCGCAATTATGCACCTGATATATGTCTGTAATGGGTCTCCTACTGCCGAAGCATCGTATCCCCCGTCTGCACTCGTCCCCCAGCCATTCATGAAAAATAATGCCGGCACCATCATTTTGCATACAACTGTGTCGTCAGCATTATGCCAATTTTTGATTTTGTACGGCCCCCATCCTTGATCATCACACGATTGCGCAAATGTGGCATTATCTTTTTCCATATAGGTAAGAAACTTGTCTACCATATTTTTCATATCTGCCCATATTTGTCTCTGTAAAGGGTAAAGTAGCGACCCCGAATGTTTCAACGGCATAATGCTGCTAGTACATGACGTATGTGAATACTCATAGTTCAATACTTACTGTCCAAGCACTGATCTTGTACACACTATGCCAATGCAATATCCGCCATAGTCATATATATACTGGTAACACACTTTCCTGGTGAGCACATCAGTACACTCACCTATGCGCTGCGTGCGCTGTGCTCTTTTGCATTCTGTGCGTACCATAACCTACCTCGTAAAAACCGTCAATTCCCTGTCCTTGCCTGCGTATTAGCCACTCTGCCAGTAATTCTACGAATTGCGCTGCCATGATACTACTACATAACTAGGTCACTATTCATACGCTTCGCATATCATTGCAGTATCTAATGAATTTGTTATTCCCGCACAAGCTGTACCGTTGACTATGATACTTCCTGTTGTGCATGAATCATAGGTTTCCCCTTTCTCATTTATGCTAGCTAACATGTACACACTACAAATTTTTAATTCATTCAACTTCTACATAGGCGTGCCATACAACTGAAAAAGAGGAACCGACTAAAAAGACTGAAGGGCACGCATAAGAAGAATAGAATGAAGAGTACAACAAGGGAGGAAAGAGAAACAATGTAAAAAAAGAGACAGAAATATGTACAAAAGGAAAGACGAAGACTATTTACAAAATAACTGTGCCATCAGGTTATAATCCCAATGCGTAAACTAACCTGATTATATGAATCAGAATAATCTGCTACTATACAATATTCTGCATGTACTGCTTCCTAACACTATATACTACAAATAACTCTGCCATTTACTTCAATTCCCATAACGCACGTATGAAAAAAAGAAAAAAAGAAAAGAAAAAAACAAAAGAAAAAAAAAAAAAAAAAGGCAAAAACATAGAAAAAATACTACACCACGTCATGAATATACACCCCCGGCGCCCTTTCTACACCGGTCTCCACTAAACGCCTGCACACACACGTTGTCTCTCTGTGCGCGTACACAACAAAACCGCAGTATAACAACATCAATGCGTCCTTCTTCGTGCTACCGTCGTTGTCGCCGTCGTTGACGCCGTTATTGCTGCCCCACATAATATGTGTGTTCCTTCGCTCCCCGCCGCGCTCACTCTCTCTGCTCCTGCTCTATGCTCCCTCTCTGGATCCCTCACTCCGCTACTTCGTCGAAACCTTCGTACACTCGGCCGCTTTGGTCGACGCGTGTGCTCGGACAGACAATCCTCCTGCTGCTTACACTCGGCTACGGCGTCGAACTGCTTCACTCGGACAGTCGTGTTTACGCGTCCACGTGTGCTCGGAGAGACAATCTCTCCTCCTTCTTACATTAGGCCAATCGCGTTTACGCGGCCACGTTTGCTCGGAGAGACAATGTCTCCCTCCGTTCTTACACTCGGCTACCTCGTCGACAATCCCGTGTACCCGGCCGCGTGGGTCGACGCGTTTGCTCGAACAGACAATCTCTCCCTCCTGTCTTACACTCGGACAATCCTTCGTCGAATGCTGCTTACCAGGCCACGTTGGTCGGAGAAACAATGCCCTGCTTCGTGCACTCGGCCGCGTTGGTCGACGCGTTTGCTCGGAGAGACAATCTCTCCTTATACTCGAATGCGTATTCGCATGCTATATTTGTTCTGCACTGTACCCGTAGAATGCACGTGCGCATCTGTTAATAATTAACGTCACACAAAGGAGAATTCTACCCCTTCATATTATTCATGTAAATCTACGTTTTATATGCATTTAACCGGTACCACCCTGTCCGCATGGACATATTAAAAGAAGTTCACTACACAGAAAAAGAACAAAACAAGGCAAAAGTAAGCACAAGTAAACAGAACAGAGCAGAACAAAAAAAGAAGGTATGTAATAATGTAAACCCGAAATATATTACGTATATCACATAATGAAGTACAAGTGGTCTAATGTTAGCATGCGTTATTTCGCATGCATATGCGCCGTCATCCTAATGTCAGAGCTGGTGCAATAGAGCATCTACATATGACTCCCTATCCTGCACACTTCTCTCGATTTCACATTGTTCGATTACCGACGCGAGCAGGAGTATCCACAATTTGGCAAGTAAGTGCTTCTTTGTATGTGCGTCCTGATGCAGTGTTTGGGGGCCTGGTATATCTCTTGCTCTTAGCACATGTGCTGCATTTACTGTTTCCACTTTTAAGTCTTTTTCGACTACTGATACTTCGCCTTTTTGCGGCACTGTCTCCTCGTGTACATTATTCAACAAATGTTGGAACCACACCTGCGCACTATATGTATTCATAAGCGCATGTTGCTTTGCAACCCACTGTTTCCAGGCATCTTGCTTCATCTCTACGGATGGGATGTTGGCGTGCTCACCGAGTTCACGCTGCGCGGATACTCCGTTGTCTTCGGTTGCCAGCATGTGATCACGCAGGTATTGTTTCCATTCCGCTTTTAATTCCAAAAACCACGGCTGCGTCGTGCAGTCCTGCAATAGGTGCTTGTTGCGGTCAATCCAGTTAATCCAATTAGTGTGGTCGGGGGTCAGGTTTGCATTCCCGGGGTCGGAACAGTATGCAAGGGAAGAAGGAGTGTCGTCTTGTTCTAACTGTATGGATTCCATACAACTCCAAGGATCGGGGTCATCTTCGTTAGGTGCAGAAGGGTCCGTGCCGTCGGAGTCAGTGGACGAAACATTGCTCCCTGATAAACCCTCATTTGGCGTATCAGCATTCGGGAAACTACTGTGCCCGTTGTTGCCCCCCATAAACTCTTCAACGAGTATTTGCAAATAGTCGTCTTTGACGTTTTCCCATTCGGCTGCTTCACATTCGTGGAGCACTTCTAGATGCAGCTCGATGATGGTGCGTTTATGCACGCACGGTGGGCGTCGTCGTCGGTCGGCAAATTTATCGCGACGTCGTTCCCTACTCATCGTGTACCCGTAATGGAGCGGTGGTGGTAGGTCGCCTCGTTGTAAATGGTCGAGTATTTGTTCGTCGAGTGGCGGTGACGGCACGTCACGCACTGTTCGATACGTTCGTCGTCGTTTTGTTCCGAGGTACGCAAAATACTAAGCAGAAAAAGGGGGTAAAGAGCAGGGTGGGCGGGGAAGGTATGATAAAAGGAATGAACGCGGGTGTAGGAGTACATTTGTGTTAGAACGATCATGTATTGCAGGCCGTCGGGATGTTCTGAGGTATAAACATCCTGCACGTGCGGGATTCCGGGATTGCCGTATATACTTACCTTCCAAAGGGAATAACCAAGAAGGGCCACGATGGCGGCAGTGAGAAAAAACAGGATGGGGGTTGTGGCGGTAAGGACGGTGTCGGTTAGGTCGGGGAATAAGGGGCCGTCACCACTCGGAGGTCCCGTCTTCAATAAATTTTCATTGTCTTCATTCAATGTGACATCTTCTACGTTTGGTGGTGCGAACGATCGTGTTACACTGCTTATTCCTGTTAACTGTGTCAGCTGTAATTCGAAATCTCCCTTCTTAGTTCCAGCAGGTGGAGATTGGACTCCTGGCAAACCACCAGTAACTTGAATGTTACTGTTACCAGTACCGGAGGAGCAGGTGTTATTTTCTTGGTAGCACGGTTTTTCAGTGAGGCCTGGTATATCAATTCCGTAGGACTTGTCATCGGGATTCGGTCCAACAGTTTCGAGTGGATTGGTGTTTGGCGGCTGTGGAGGGGGGTCATCGTTGGTGCCATCAACGACGGCATCGCCTGAACATTTGGTGAATGGGGAGACAGGGAAAGGGAAGGAAGAAGTATGATGAAACTGAAGTTATGTTTCGGATGGTTCACCCCGGTCGGTTGGGCACATGGTCCGCCGCTGGATGGTTGGCTGGTGCCACTCCGTGAAAAGACTCTCTCTGTCTCCGACACAGCACACACAACACACAACACACAGACAGTGTGTGTCGGTCTGCATCTACGTCGACGTCTACCTTTCTACGTCTCTACGTCTACCTCTACCGGCCGCTACCTCCGGCGGCGGCTTACTCTCCCCGGTCTCCCCGTCGCTCTGCGGCGCGCTCACTCCCATTGGACGTTTGGTTTCTCGCTCTGTGCGAGATGTTCGAGATGCTGTGTCTTGTTTTTTTTTTTTTTTTTGTTTTGTGTTTTTTATGCTACTCTACTGGTATATTCGCATGCATCATGGATCATGCTACTGGTGTCACCTGTTCCAGAATTGGGGCTAGGACTAATGGGTGCCTGTTCGCGCTCCTTCTCTTCCTGTTGCAGGAGTTGCCGAACATCATCCGTCAGCCCAAGATCACTATCTGAGGTACTGCCGCAACTAATGGAGACACCTGTAGATCTGCCGTTGCTGTCGGGACATGGCGCCTTACCTGGAGACTTTGCATCCGAAGCCTTAACCGTTGGTTCTGTGGAGTTCCCGTCTGCCCGTGCTGCTGCTCCGGCTCCTCCAACCCCTGCTTCCGTTGGTGGTGCCGCAGGTGGGGGTTGCGGTACGGGTCCCGGTGCTACTACGCTCGTTTTCCCAGTTGTTGGATCTGATCGGGCTGGTGACGCCCCTGGTGTCGATACTGGAGTTTTGGCCTCCGATTGTTTCCCCTTCCCCTTAGTTTGGTCATCGGTATCTCCTACCGGCTTCGTCGCCGCCGGTTTCGCGGCGGCGGCTGCATTAAGGAAAACAAATGAGGAAGATGATAAAAAAAAAAAGGGACACCAGTGGTACAGAAAGAAGGGGCCGGGACGGTGGGCTCACGTACCGGCCGTGGCGACTCGATGGACTGCGTACTCGGTGAACTTGGGCTAGATGGTAGCCGTGCAACTTTTATTTGTCGCCGTCATGTCGTCCATCGTCCGTTCCATGCGTCGTCCTGTGCCTCGTCGCCGCTACTGCTACCGTCGTGGCGGCCGCCGCACACACACACTTCGGCTCAACGAGGGGGTGCTGTGCCGTGCATGCGTATTGTTCCCGCCGTGTGCGTGTGGCGCACCGTTGTTGTTGTTGCCGTGGCGGCATCCATATTGAGCAATACGGTACGTAGCGGGTCGTATTAGTGCTTTCTCCCATCTGTCCTTACCTGTCGATCCTGATGTTGCAGCCGGCTCAGTAGGCGCCGTGGCGGGCTTGCTGGTGCCACGTGCATTACCTGTAGTACCGGTGTCTGACGCGCCCGATGGAGCTGCTGGTGTTCCTGATGTCTCTGCTGCATTGGATGGTATTTTAGTCCTTTCGTGGTCCCAAGTGTTTATTGCGTCCTCTAATATTTTTTTACCTTGTTGCGTGTGCTGACTATTTCCGACTTTTACCATTATGTCGCGTACCCTAGCTTTCGGTAGGTAGTCCTTGTTCTCGATTAACCTGTGTAGTTTGTCTAAATTCTCACTTTTCAATATACCAATGTTGTTGCTTGGTCCATCTCCTGCTGCACTTGCTGCCCGCATCCGCCCTCCTCCGACATTATCACATCCTCCTGCGCTAATGCCCTGAGTTATCTTAGGCCTTCTGCCTTTCCAGTCGGTTATCCATTCGTCCATGGCCTCTCCCATAAGGCGTGTTCCAATTTTTAGTGCCTCAAATTGCACCCAAGCACATTTGTCTCTATTAGTTACAGCATTGAAGCCTTCCTCCATCGTACGCATTAATGTGGAAACATGTGTCGTTATTTCCTTTATTTTACACTGCTTTCCATGTAACTTCATGAGGGTCCAGGTCCCTATCATGCACCTTAAGTAGCTCCACAGCTCGCCTTCTCCTTGATCCGTAGTACTCTGTGCGCCCCCCTGTTTATGCAAGCCCTCCATATAATAAAATATTGTCGCCACTTCCATGCATAAGACTTTATTACGTATACCTTTAAGATAAGCTTCACTGTGTATGCTGTAATCACACATTGTCCGTATCGTGGTGTCGTACTTTTTCGCATCCACATATGTACGCAACTGCCGGAACATGCTCTTTATATCCGTCCATATTTTGTCCTACGACATAAATAATTTACACATGTAGTTCTATTGTACTCCTTCCGTAATTTTAACTTGCCTATAGATAAATAGGTATGTGGCCCATTGCGCCCCGTATACTCCTGGGCAAGTGTACGCATGAATACTAATCAACATTATCCATATATTGCTCCAGAACTGCATACGTCTGTTTGTTTCCCTCCCCGTTCTACACAAATGAGTCCAGTTAGTCCTCCTGCCCACATAATGTTCACGATAACTTACGCTAAACTCCTGCCCATCGCCTGTATCTCCCTGGATTGCTCTTGTTCGTATATAATGCGCCAATAGGTGCGTGAACTCCGTTGCACTCATTGTCCTTCCCTTGTGTTGTTCAGGGAAGCTATAACATTACACTGCCTGTTGTTGTCGTAATGCTGCATCAGAACTACATCAAAGGCTACATGGCCCATCTGCGCCTTCTGGCTTTATGGCTCCTTTACGTATTAGGAATTTGGTCGCTAATGTTCAGCACAAGAACACTATACAGAACAAAAACCACCAGTTCTGTACCTCCTAGTGCAATCCCATGCGTGCACTAGTATTAAATAATGTAGAACTTATGTACACGTAATAATGGGACAATGAATATAGCAAGCAACAAAAAACACGAAGAATAGAAGAATGAAAAAAAAAAAAACGAAGAAAGAAAGCAAAAAAAAGTACGACTACACTACCGTACACACGCAACTCGTCATGAATACACCCCCCGCCCCCGTTGTCCACTAAACGCCGTCACACACTGTGTCTCTGTGTGCGTACACAAAAAAACCGCAGTAACAACATCAATGCTGCTGCCGTCGTACACTCGGTTGTTTCGTCGAATTGTGGGTACCCGGCCGCGTTTGCTCGGAGAGACAATGTCGCCCTCCGTTCTTACACTCGGCTACGTCGTCAAATACGTTCACTCGGTGGCAATCCGTGTATCCGGCCACGTTTGCTCGGAGAGACAATCTCTCCTCCTTCTTACACGCGGCTACAATGCGGTTTACGCGGCCGCGTCTGCTCGGACAGACAATCTCTCCTCCTTGGTGCAGTCGGACAATATGTTTACTCGGCTACTTCGTCGACGCGTGTGCTCGGAGAGACAATCTCTCGTCCTTGTTACACGCGGCTACTGCGTCGAATCGTGCGGACACTCGGCTACAATGCGGTTTACGCGGCCGCGTTTGCGCGGAGAGACAATCTCTCCTTATACTCGAATGCGTAGGCGCATGCTATAGGTGTTGTGCACCATACCCGTAGAATGCACGGGCGCAGCTTGTAATAATTAACTTCACATAAAGGAGAATACTACCCCTTCATATTATTCATTTAAATCTACATTTTATATGCATTTGACGTGTACCCACCTGTTCCTGTGGTCATGTTAAAAGAAGTGGTCTACGTAACAAGCACAGAACAAAGCACAAGTAAGCACAAGTAAGCAGAACAGAGCAGAACAGAGGACAAACAAAAAAAAGAACGTATGGAATAATGTAAACCCGAAATATATTATGTATATAACATAATGAAGTAAAAGTGGTCTACCGTTAGCATGCGTTATGTCGCATGCAGATGCCCCGTCATCTTAATTGCAGATGTTGTCCAATAGTTCATCCACATATAACTCCGTCTCTTGCAAATTGCGTTCGACCTCGCACTGTTCTATGACTAATGCCAGGATCAGTATCCATATTGTAGCGGTTAACGGTTTTTTCATGTAAGGTTGCTTATGCAGTGGTTGGGGCCGTGGTACATGTCGCACTTTCAAAGCTGATCCGCCGTCCAGTGCTTCTTGTACTTGTAAACCTTTTTCTACAGTTGGCCCGTGTTCTGTTACAAATGTGGTCGGTTTTTCATCTACTGTGTGTATGTGACTCACTCCTTCCAACATTCGTATCTGTTCCGGCATGCCGTCGTGCTCTGTTACTACTCCGGTCTCCTCGATATTACTCCATAGGTGTTGAAACCACTCCTCCTCACCATGTATATTCAGAAGCTCATGTTGTTTTGCAACCCATTCTTTCCATGCATCCAGTTTGTTCCTTTCCATGGTTGCCACTTCACCGAAGGCACGCTGCACGTATACTCCGTGAGCCGCGTTTGCCACCATGTGCTCACTCAGGTATTGTTTCCATTCCGCTGTTAATTGCAGAAACCACGGCTGCGTCGTGGACGCCTGCAATAGGTGCTGGTGTCGCTCAATCCAGTTAATCCAATTAGTGTGGTCGGGGGTCGCGCATTCATTCCCGGGGTCGGAAGAGGATGGAAAGACAGCAGGAGTCTCTTCATGTTCTAACGGTATAGTTTCCATACAACTCCATGAATCGCAGTCATTAGGTGAACAAGGGCCAGGTTGTAACTGTATGGATTCGATACAACTCCATGGATCGGGGTCATGTGGTGGACATGGATCTGTTCCTTCGGTGTCAGTGGGTGGATCCAGGGTGGAGGAAACATTGTTCCGTGATAAACCCTCGTTTGGCGTAGCAGCATGCGGGGAACTACTGTGCCCGGTTGCATCGGGCTCCAAGTCACGCGCAAACTCCTGCGCAAACTCCTGCACGAGTATCTGCAAATAGTCGTGTTTGACGCTTTCCCATTCGGTTGCTTCACATTCGTGGAGCACTTCTAGATGTAGCTCGATGATCGTGCGTGTATGCACGCTTGGTGGGCGGCCTCTACCGGATGTTGACGCAGGTTGCGTGGCCTTAACCATCGTGTACCCGTAATCGGGTGGCGGTAGTTCGCCGCGTTGTAGATGCTGCAATATTTCTTCGTCGAGTGGCCGTGACGGCACGTCACGCATAGTTCGATATGTTCGTCGTCGTTTTTGTCCGAGGTACGCAAAATACTAAGCAGAAAAAAGGGGGGTAAAGAGCAGAGTGAGGACGGTAGGATAAAAGGAATGAACACGGGTGTAGCAGTACATTTGTGTTAGAACGATCATATATTGGAGCCCGTAGGGATGTGCTGAGGTATAAACATCCTGCACGTCCGGCATGCCCGCATTGTCGTATATACTGACCTTCCATAGGAAGAACGCAATGAGCCCAATACCAACCACCGCGGGGATCATGGCGGGGGTGTACCACTTGACATCTTCCCATGTGAGGCCGGGCGGCACGGACGGGGTGGCAGGGGTAAGGGTAGCCCGTGCACCTCCTGTAGTTGCAGTACCATGACCGGTAGAATCGGTGCCTGAGGAATTTGGTTTCACAGTCCCAGTGGAACCTGCTCCAGCACCTGCTGCACCTGTACCTCCTGCACCACCAGTGCTACCGCCTCCAGCACCACCACCAACTTCGTCACCTCGGCCTGTTCCTTCCCCACCAGAAACTCCATCCGCCAAATCAGCGTCACTGAAACTGCCACTACTACCCGATTGATCTGGGTTCGGATTCGGTTTTGGTTTGGGTGGATTGAGAGGAGGGGGGTCATCATTACCGCCATCGATGACGTCATCGCCTGAACATGTGGTGAATGGGGAGACAGGGAAAGGGAAGGAAGCAGAATGTGATGAAACTGAACTTTTGCAGCGGTGGTGGCACATGGTTGGTTGCCCAGACGGTCCGTCGCTCTTGGTGGGCCGCGTTGCGAACGGTGGTTGGCAGGTGCCACCCCGGGAACAGACTCTCTCTCTGTCCCACACAACACACACAACACAACACAACACACACAGTGTGTGTGTGTCTGTCTGTCTGTCGACGTCTACGTGGCTACGTGTACAACCCGCGGCCGACCGTGCGCTCGGCCGATCGCTCTGCCGCTTGCATTCTCGTTCGACGTGTGGTTTCTCTCGCTCTCCGTGGTGTCTCTGGCTCTCTCCCCGGAAATTGTTGTTGTTTTTTTTTTTTTGGTTTTTGTTGTGGATATTCACTCAGGACACTACCTTTTCCTGTGTCTTTGGACTTCTTGTCACAGTCACCATCGTTTTCGGAGCTGGATGCAATGGAGATAGTGATGCGCGATGTGGCACCCTGGAGTCCCAAGCCTGAGTTGTCAGATGTAAGTACCGTGGGTTGCCTCGAACACTTACCTTTCTTGTCTCCTTGTTCACTCGGCCCCGCGTCTGTAGTTGCTGGTGCAGGTGGGGGTTGTTGTCCAGGTCCTGGTCCTGCGGGTGATGGTGTCCTTGGTGGTGCCGCAGGTGGCGGTTGTGGTATGGATCCCGTTGCGGAGTCATCGGACCTTGCCACTCCATGTGCCACATTCCCTTTCGTCGGTGCTGTCTCCTCAGGAACAACCTCCGTTGGTACCTCTGGTGCCTTAGCTGGTGTATCTTCCGGTTTCTTCGCTGCACATGAAGCAAGGAACAAACACGACAAAATGATACAAAAAGGACACAAGTGGTACAGAAAGAAAGGGGCCGGGACGGTGTAGTCAGGTAGCGGCAGGGTAGGTCGGCAGCAAGCGCACGGTGTTAGAGAGCGCGCACGTTGTTAGAAGAGGACAAAGACAGGAACAAAGGGGGGCGCACGCGGTGCATTGGGTCAGGCGACAGCAAGCGCACGGTGAGGTAAGACTCGGTGAACTGCGTCCAAGCGGACTGAGTCGTGGTGGATGGTAGCAGTACAACTTGTATTTGTCGCCGTCTGCCATCGTCGCCGTCATCTCGCCCTGGACGCCGCTCCATCCCACGCAGCACTGTGACGCCGCTACCGCTGCCGTGGCCACTCATCTCCGTCCGCGCCGCTACCGCTGCCGTCGTGGTCGCTACATATTCGTTGCCGCCGCTCAACCGAAGTGGGGCAGCGATGATGTGCCGCGCTATGCTGTGCCGCCGCGTGGTTTGTTGTTACGCCGCATGTGCGCGTTGTTGTCGTCGCGTGTGCGTGTTTGTGGCCGTTGCGTTGTTCTTGCCGTGTGAGTCTGTGGTGGCATCGTTGCATTGGTGGCGGCATGCATACGGTCCACAGCGGGCCATATGGGGCCGTGTATTCGTGTTAGGCCGTAGCGGTAACGGGCGTGTTCGTGCGCAGTCGTATATTCGTATGCGTGCGGCTCCCGTAGCTCTTACCTGCCGGTGTTGTTACCACCGGTTTCGCCGCTGCTGCTTTAGCTGCGGCGGCTGCTTGTGCAGCGGCAGTGTTCTCGATCACTGGCTTTAATGTTTCGTGCACTTTCTCGATTGCTTGTTTTATGTCTTTCTCGATGTCTTCGTCACTGTCTGCATCTGCGTCTACCACATAAGAATCCGTGGGTGCTTTCGCATGTGAGGCCCTCAATTGGGTCTCCTCCTTCTCCATTTGTTTCTTCACGTCTCCCAAAATTTGTGTGACCTGCTGCTTTACTGCATCTTTCTTTTGGTCGTCTTCTTTCTCGTCCTTTTCCTTGTCTCCCTGTCCGAGCTCTAGCGTTACGGTTCCTCCCTTACACCCATCGCTTATGCGTTCCTTTGCAAGTTTCTGCTGCACCTGGTTGTTCTGTTGTAACCATGTCTTCATCTGATTCCTCATGGGCCAGTGCCCTAATTTGATATCCTTGTACATACCCCGCTTACAATGGTTTTGCCCCAATGTGTCCTTTAACGCATCCCAAATTATGTGTGTTGTGTACCAGGCGTAATATGTGCCCCAGTGACCCTCGCATGCATTTGCCCGCAGTATGTCGTTATATACGTCCACTATTGTGCATCTCATTAATCCCTTAATTTCTCTATTGTTCGCGTCGTCCTTCTCTATGTTGTTCTTTACTTCATCAGTCCATTCACTTGCAAAATATATCGCTTGCGTCATGAGTCTGCATATAACTCTTTCTGTTGGCCTGGTCATCTGCCTTGGTTGTTGGTCTGGCCTGCCATGTTCTGCTGGATGCTCCCAGTATGCATTCTCACAGTTCTTAGCATTGTCGTACTGACTTTCATCTTTCATGTGCCTAATAAAAATCCCCAGTTGTGTTTGTATATCGTCCCATAAAGCAGCCTGTGTTTAACGCAATGCACATATATCTATGTGGTCGCACAGTATTATTCACCAACCGTGGCAATCATGTAATTATATGTGTCCCTTCCTTCCTGTTACATGTAAATGTTCCGTATGCGGTACATATGAAGCACGCACATGTCCGACATGCTGCTACGCTTTAGTATGCTGCTCTTATACACACATATGTGCGGCCTTTTTCACACCGCCTCACGCGGCCAGTATGTATAGGAAATTACCTGATAGCGCGCATCATCTGCCGGTAGCTGCCTATCCGTTGCGTATTTTGCCAATATCTTCCCTAAATCTGCCGCCATTTTTGTCGCATCATAACAACATAGAAAAGATCACTCCTTGCAGAATGCGTATATCGTTCTGCATATCTTTCGCTACTGCATTACTAACAATGTCTACGTTTCAAATATAATCCTCTATATGCACTACTCATTAACGTGGTTTCAACCTCAACAATATTCTCCACTGGAACAGGGGGTATATATGCATCAATTCATATAACCTATCTAAACATATACACATATATACTCCGTTTCCTTATATACAGAACGCGTAGTTGCACAACGAACCATAATAAATACGAGTAAAAAGAAGAACAAAAATAAGTTAGAAATAAATTACCTAAAAAAAAAAAAAAGAAACAATTGCACGACACACATCATACCTGTACAAATGCATAACAACATACTATACACAATCTCGAGAAGACGCGCGCTGTTCCACACATTCACAATGTCCCCCCGTGAAGAAGAAAAGGAAAAAAAAAAAGTACTACTACACAACCTACACACGCAACGCGTCATGAATATACACCCCGTCCCCCCTTTCTACAGCGGTCTGCACTAAACGGCTGTCACACACACTGTCTCTCTGTGCGCGTACACCTACAAACCGCAGTAACAACAACAAAATCAAATTCTTGTGCCGCCGTTGCTGCCGTCCTTCCCGCGGCTACGTCGTTGAATCGTTTACTCGAACGCCGTAATTGAACCGTTGTACTGGGCTACCTCGTCGACAATCCCGTGTACCCGGCCGCGTGGGTCGACGCGTTTGCTCGAACAGACAATCTCTCCCTCCTTTCTTACACTCGGACAATCCTTCGTCGAATGCTGCTTACCAGGCCACGTTGGTCGGAGAAACAATGCCCTGCTTCGTGCACTCGGCCGCGTTGGTCGACGCGTTTGCTCGGAGAGACAATCTCTCCCTCCGTTCTTACCCTCGGCACAATGCTTACGCGCCTACTTCGTCGAATCGTTGTTACAAGCGGCTGCGTTTGCTCGGAGAGACAATCCTCGTCCTTGTTGCACTCGGCCGCGTTACTCGGCTACTTCGTCGAATCCGTCTTGCACGTGGCCGCGTTTGCTCGAAGAGACAATCCTCCTCCGTCGTGCACGCGGCTACGTCGTCGACGCGTTTGCTCGGAGAGACAATGTGTACGTTCTTACACTCGGCTACAATGCAGTTTACGCGGCCGCGTTTGCTCGGAGAGACAAGCTCTCCTTATACTCGAATGCGTATGCGCATTCTATATTAGTGCTGCACTATACCCTTAGAATGCACTTGCTCAGCTTTTAATAATTAACTTCACATAAAGCAGAATTCTACCCCGTCATATTATTCATGTAAATCTACATTTTATATGCATTTAACCGGTGCCCACCGGTTCCTATGGTCATGTTAAAAGAAGTGGACTACACAGAAAAAGAACGAAACAAGGCAAAAGTAAGCACAAGCAGAACAGTGCAGAAAAAAAAAGAAGGTATGGAATAATGTAAACACGAAATATATTATGTATATCACATAATGAAGTAAAAGTGGTGTACGGTCAGCATGCGTTATTTTCCATTCATATGCCGCGTCATACTAATGTCAGAGCTTCTGCAATAAAGCATCCACACATAACTCCGTCTGCTGCAAACGGCTTTCAAGCTCGCTCTCTTCTATGATTAATGCCAGGATGAGTATCCATGTTTTAGCGCATAGCGGCTTGTTGAGGTACAGTTGCGGATGCAGTTGCGTGCATGGTATATCTCTCACGCGTAGCAGATCGTCTGTTGCCATTGCATTTTCCACTTCTAAGTCTGTGTCAACTGCAGGTACTTCGCCTTTTTGCGATTGTCTCTCGTCCTCTACATTATTCAACAAATGTGTAAACCACTCCTGCTGCCTATGTACACTCATTTGCCGATGTTGTTGGGAAACCCACTGTTTCCACAGATCCAATTTCTGCATCGGCGGGGTGGGTGCCTCACCGAGTTCACGGTGCCCGTTGTGTTCGTCTGCCGTATGTTGTTGATAATATTGTTTCCAATCCGCTTTTAATTGCAGAAACCACGGCTGCGTCGTGCAGTCCCGCAGAATATGTTTGTTGCGGTGAATCCAGTTAATCCAATAAGTGTAGTCCGAAGGCGCGTGGTCGGGGTTGGAATGAGCACGACTGTGTGGTGCATCTAACTCGATATGTTCCATACAACTCCATGGATCGGGGTTATCTTCGTTAGGTCGACAAGGGGCCGTGTGTAACTCTGTCGTTTCCATACACTTCCATGGATCGCAGTCATTAGGTCGACAAGGGTGCGTTTCTAACGGTATGTTTTCCATACAACGCCATGGATCGGGGTGCTCTGCGTTACGTGGAGATGCGTCCGTTCGTTCGATGTCAGTGGGTGGGTCCAGGGTGGAGGAAACAGTGTTCCATCGAGGACCCTGGTCTGACGTAGAAACACCCACGATATTGTTATTCCTGTGCTCTTCCCGCATCAGATCCCACATCAAATCCTTCGCAAAGTCCTCCACGACAATCTGCAAATAGTCGTCTTGGACGTTTTCCCACGCGGCCGCTTCACATTCGTGGAGCACCTCTAGATGTAGCTCGATAATCGTGCGTTTATGCACGCGTGGTTGCGGTCGTCGTCGAGCGGCAGCAGATGCAGGCCGCCTATCCCTAATCATCGTGTACCCGTAATCGGGTGGCGGCAGTTCGCCGCGTTGTAGATGGTCTAGAATTTCTTCGTCGAGTGGCGGTGACGGCACGTCACGAACGGTTCGATATGTTCGTCGTCGTTTGGCGAGGTGCGCAAAATACTAAGCAGAAAAAGGGGGTAAAGAGCAGGGTGAGGACGGTAGGATAAAAGGAATGAACGCGGATGTAGAAGAGTGCATTTGTGTTAGAACGATCATATATTGGAGCCGGTTGGGATGTTCTGAGGTATAAACATCCTGCACATGCAGCATGCCCGCATTGTCGTATATACTTACCTTCCAGAGGAAAAACGCAATGATGCCAATACCAACCACCGCGGGAATGATCGCGGCGGTGTAGGGGATGAGGTCCTTGGGGTCGAAGGGTTTCGACGGAGGGAGGGTAGGAAGAGGTTGGTCTTTGGTTTCTGGAGTCTGGCCACTGGAAGGAGGGGAACCACCGGCTCCACCAACTCCAGCACCTGCACCACTGCCACTACCGCCACCACGAACACCACCATTAACACCACCACTACCACCTGCCGTTACTTCCCCACCAGAAACACCACCTCCAGTACCTCCTGTCGACGGTGCGCCGCTGCTGCCGCTGGACCCCGATTGATTTGGGTTCGGGTTCGGTTTGGGTTTGGGTGGATTGAGAGGAGGGGGGTCATCGTTGCCGCCATCGATAACGGCAGCACCGGCTGCACCAGTGGATCCATGCGGATCGGATGGGGGGGTGTTCTTTGCAGCCTGTGCTGGTGCTCCCTGAGAGATTGGTAATTGTGCATCGGGGGATGCGGCCGCGTTCCCAGTACCTGCTTCGCTACTGCCTGCAGAGTTGTCCACAGTGTTTGTAACGGTACCCTCTGGAGGCTTCGGATCAACTTGGTCCTTCGAGTCAGGACTCTTGTCTGGGTTCGTTGGCTGAGATGTGCCCACATCATCTACTCCCTTAGGTTCCACTTGTACTGTGTCCTTTGTGGCGTCCTGTACTTTATCCGTTGGAGGTGTAGTTGTGTCCTCACCTGTAAATCCAAGTGAACGGGAAGAATAGGGAAGAATGAAGGTGATAATGAAACTGAAGTTTTGTACGGTTCACGGTCGTCCACAGGGGCCGTCGCTGGATGGGTAGCCACACGGTTGGCCACATGGTGCCACGGGGACGGAAGACGGGCATCGAGGCAGGAGACCGGCCGGGGCAGAGTGGCAGGTGCCACCACGGGAAAAGACTCTCTCTCTGTCTCCCACACACAACACACAACACAGACAGTGTGGGTGTCGCTCTGTCGACGTCCGTCTACGTCTATCTGTCGACGTCTACGTGGCTACGTCTCTCTACTTCCCGCGGGTTGTCCGCGGCTTCTGCCCGCTGCTGTGCCCCTCATTCTCATTCGACGTTTGGTTTCTCTCTCTGCGTGGTTTCTCTCTCTCCGTGTTGTCTCTCCCTGTGTCTCCGGAAATTGTGTATTTGTGGTGTTTTCTGTCCTCTTGTATGACTATTGAACGGTTCTTTTGTATGTGTGCTCTCGAAATGCGTTACCGTGGGCAATAGCATCTGTGAGTGCTTTTCCTCCGCCTAAATCTTCATCGGGCGTGCAGGTTGGAGTTATAACAATACCACCGGAACTGGACGCATTGTTCCGCAGATTCTGCTTACACTTTTCCTCACCTGATGTTTCCGTTGGTCCCTTTGGTGTTGCATCACCTGTATCATTTTTTTTTCCTACTGCCCCTGGCGCTGGTGGGGATGCAGGTGTTTGTGACCGCCCTACTCCAGTATCTGATGTTTCCGGCTGCGTCGCCGCCGGCTTCGCTGCGCCTGTAATGAGGACAACGGAAGAAAGATGGATGAGAAAGATGATAAAAAAAAAAAAGCGACACAAGTGGTAGACAGAAAGAAGGGGCCGGGACGGTTCGATCAGGTAGCGGCAGCAAGCGTACGGTGTTAGAGAGCGCGCACGTTGTTAGAAGAGGACAACGATAGGAAGAAAGGGGGGCGCACTCGGTGGACGGAGGTGATAGCAGTGCAACTTTTATTTGTCGCCGTCATCTTGTCCATTCTCCGTCGTCACCGCGACCGCTGCCGTCGTGGCCGCTGTGCTCAGCGCTCACACTACGTGAGGCAGCGAAGATGTGCCGCCCTGTGCTGTTGTGCTGTTCCCCCGCGCGTGGTTGTGCGCCGGTGCGTGTTGTGGCCGTCCATCCGTACGAACTTGTTCTAGCCGTATTGGTCGTATTCATGCCGGGGGTACTATTTGTATTCGTACTAGGCGTATTCTTATCATGCTTGTCCTGATTGTGCTTACCTTGAATTTCTGTAATTCTCTGTTCTACCTTCTTCTCCGCTTCTTTAAAGACCTTCTTTGCCTTCTCCCTTACGTGCCTCTCTGCCGGCTTCATCTTCTGTCTTCCTTCTAGGCTCAATTTCCCAGTTTCAGTATCCTTGTTTCCTGGTGTGTTAAGATAATGCGCCCACTCCTCCGCACAGTCCACCGTTCTCTGCATTTGTTCTATTTTCCCCATTATGTCTGCTTCGTGTATTAACAATTCTACCAGTTCTCCTTTTATTACTCTCCCAATCGCCCGGCTAACATCATACCCACATTCTGTGCACCTTCCGTCAATTACAGGACCCCGTCCATGTTCGCCTATTCCACCCCCCCCACGCATGTTTAGCAGTGTCTTCCAGGCATACTTTACACCTCGTTTCCACGCTGTCTTATGGTCACAATACTTTCTTTGCAGTAGGTACCCGAATGCATTCGCTAGCTCGCATCTTAGCCTGTTCTGCGTTTCATCCATATTTGTGCTGTACCCTTTTATATTATCACCGTTTGCAAACCACAATGCACCCGTCATGAGTCGGCACCGTATGACGTCCGCTACTGTCTGACCCGTGTAATATGTTGATGCTTGGTCTATATCATCCCAACCAGAGTTTTCACAATTTACACCGTATGCATCCATCATATCCTCCTTCTTTTGCATATAATCAATAAATTGCTCCAACACGTTCTTCATGCTTTGCAGTTCCTGCTTCTGTATTAGGCACACGGAAATAGAAAAATGCTCATGTTCATGTGTCAACACGATATCCTTCCTGCTCAATACATGTACACTCCCCTAGTTATATATACCTTATGAATAATGTCTCCTTCTGTCCTCTGTGTCTCTCACTTCCTTTGTCTTTCTTGTTTAACTTTAACTTACACTAGTATGACCCAGCACGTATACTTGCGTCTTGTCTTCCTTCAATATGCTCTTCCAATCACAATTATCTGCTGTTGCGGCCTGCGTCCCCTTCCCTGCGGCAGTGGCACCACCCTTACCACCACCACCACGATCGCCACCACCAGATGATGTCGTCGTCGTGCCACTTCCCGATGACGGTGTGGCCGCGACTCCCGGTTTCCCCGCTACTGGTTTGCCCGGTGCTGGTTTGGCCGGGGCGGGTTTGGCGGCGGCTTCATTCGTATTACCCGGTTGTGACTTGGCCACTGATGGTGGTGTCCCCTCGTCTGCTGGTCGCGATGGCCGTGGTGGCCTCGGTGGTGGAGGGGGTCTTGGTGCTGGTTGTGGTCTTGGTCCTCTCGCTGGTCCTGTTCCGGGGCCAGGGCGCTGGCTGGAGGGAGTTTCCCCCCTTCCCCTTCCTCCTCCTGCACCATTTCCACCTCTTCCACCAAATCCTGCCCCTCCTGCTCCCCCTACACTGCCTAATCCTTGTCCTCGTGGCACTTGGCCACGCGCAGCGGTAGTTACCGTCTTTCTCACAGTCTTTTCCATTTCCTTGACCTTCTCCTTTATCTTCGTCTCTATGTCACAGCGCCCCGTGTATCCCCCTTGTTTTTGCATGTCGTGTAACACCCTCCGTGCGTTCGGAAAGGTGTCTGCTGCTTGCACCGAGTGCCTTATTGTCTTCATGAGCGCGTCGTCTTCTGTTATCACCACGTCGTTCTCATTGCATGGTTCGTCAGTGTGCGCAGTTCCGTCTGTATCATCCCATCCACATGTTCTTGCTGCGTGCCCAGCACCTGCTCTAACTTGCGGCCAAGTTTTATTGAGGTCGTGTAATCGATTATGTAGGGCAGTTCCCAGACTCTTTGATTGGAATATCACCTTCCCCCAATCTCTGTTTTCACATATTCCACTTTCAAGTGTCTGCTGCATAAATGTTTTACCTGGTGTTAATTCGTCTTTAACCTTATTCATTACGTCCACATGATCACGATTGCTCCCATAGACTCGTACTAAAGCCTCTCCTGCTAGTACACATCTTAAATATTCTCTGAACTCGTCTATGGTATTCTCGTTAACGTCCCTTCTCTTCCATCCATTTGTGTCATAATCATACCCTTTCATGTATAGCATTAAATTTACAATTTCCCGACACCGTTTTATGCATGCCGAATGCTGTTGTTCAATATCCCCACATAAGCCAGAGATGTTGCCATGTGTGTAGCCAATTCTGCTGCGTAACTCATTGAATATGTCATCAACCTCACGGCGAATTAGTTCCTGCGTGTGGCATAATTCATACATGTATAGTTAATAATGCGCCGTATGTTGTATTTTACTGCACTGCCATATTCGTCCTTGGGTGATGTGTGCAGTGTGTGTGTTTTTTGCCGTTGCCCTGTAAATATCTCACTCACGTGCAGGATACGCGTATAAACAGTGCGTTCGCACCTGTACGTCTGCATTTATGACGTGTACATACGCCTTGCCTGCACAAATGTATTGTGGCCCATCTGTGTCTGAACGTCCTGTATAGTTGAACTTACCCAATATGTCCGTGCGTCGGTTATGTTCCTGGTCCGGAGAAACGCGTCCCATGCCCGTAGAAAATACAGTATGGCCTCATCAAAAAGCCCGATCATATTGAACGCGTTTTATTCCCCGTCTTAAAAAAAAAAGTACGAGTACTACCACTACTACTACTACTACTGCTACTACTACTACTGCTACTACTTCTACTACTACTACTGCTACTACTACTACTGCTACTACTACTACTTCTACTACTACTACGGACGCTCAATAACAACAACAACAAAAAAAATATACACACATCCCGTCTCCGTTAGCGCTTCTCCGTCAGGCTGTCTCCGTCGACGCCTCTTCCGTAAACGCTTCTGTCCGTCAACGCCTCTCCGTCAACGCCTTGTCCGTCAACGCGTCTACGTCACACCGTCTCCGACAACGCCTCTTGCGTCAACGCCTGTTCCGTCAACGCTTCTGCGTCAACGCGTCTCCGTCACTCCGTTCTCCGTCAACGCTTCTCCGTCAACGCCGTCTCTCCGTCACCGGGTCTCCGTGAACGCCGTCTCCGTCAACGCCTCTCCCGTCAACGCCTCTCCGGGCCACGCGGCCACTTCGTCGAATCGTGGTTACCATTTGCCACGTTGGTCGACGCGTGTGCGCGGAGAGACAATCTCTCCCTCCGTTCTTACACTCAGCCATTGCGTCGAATCGTTGTTACACTCGGCTACAATGCGGTGTACGCGGCCGCGTTTGCGCGGAGAGACAAACTCTCCTTATACTCGAATGATTATTCGCATGCTATATTAGTGCTACTCTACACCATTAGAATGCACGTGCGCATCTGTTAATAATTAACTTCACATAAAGGAGAATACACACCCCGTCATAGTATGCATTTAAATCTACATTTTATATGCATGTAACCGGTACCACCGTGTGCCTATGGTCATGTTAAAAGTGGACTACACAGAAAAAGAACAAAACAAAGCAAAAGTCAGCACAAGTAAGCAGAACAGAGCAGCAAAAAAAAAAAGACGGTATGGAATAATGTAAACCCGAAATACATTATGTATATTACATAATGAAGTAAAAGTCGTGTACGGTTAGCAGGCGTTATTTCCCATTCATATGCCCCGTCATCCGAATGTCACATATTCTGTAATAGATCATCCACATATGACTCCGTCTGCTGCAAACGACATTCGAGCTCGCACTGTTCTATGACTAATGCCAGGATAAGTATCCATGTTTTAGCGGTTAACGGTTTTTTCATGTACAGTTGCGGATGCAGTTGCGTGCGTTGTGCATTTCTCACGCGTAGCATATGTTCTGCGAACATTGCATATTCCACGCCAGGTACTTCGCCTTTTTGCGATGCTGTCTGCTGCTCTACATTATTCAACAAATGTTGAAACCACGCCTCCGCGTTATACATACGCATTTGCCGATGTTGTTGGGCAACCCATTGTTTCCACAAGCGCAGTTTGTGCATCTGCGGGGTTGCCGCTGCTGGTGCTGCTGCTGGTTTTTTTTGATCCGTTGTCTCGTTGGTTTCCCCTGGTTCAGGTCGTATATGGGTACCCAGTGCGACAGAAAAACATGGAAGAAACCGAAGTTATGTTTCGGATGGTTTTGCCCACGGTTATGACCACTGTCGGGCGCTCACGGTTGACCGCCGACGCGGGGAGACGGGGGTAGGGTGCCACCCCTGGAAAAGACTCTCTCTGTCTCCCACACACAACACACAACACACAGTATGTGTGTGTGTCGACGTTTCTACGTCGCGCTACCTGTCGCGGCTGTCTATCGGCGCGCTCACTCTCATTCGACGTTTGGTTTCTCTCTGCCCCTGTCTCCGTGGTGTCGCTCCCTGTCTCTGCGGAAATTGTTGTTTCTTTTTTTTTCTTTTTGTTGTTGTTGTCGAAATGCACTCAGGACACTACCTGGTCCCGAGTCCTTGGACTTCTTCTCACATTCATTATTAGCGTCTGGGCTCGACACAAAAGAAAGGGTGGTGGTGGATGAGGCACCTTGGATGCCCTTGCCTGCATTCTTCGCCACATGAACTGCGGTTGTACTTGTACACTTACCTGTATTGTCAGTGTGCGTCACTGCGGGTCCTGTTCCCGAGGTCGCCGGATCTTGTGATGTTGATGATGGTTGTCCTCCCCGTGCTGATCCTGCAGGTGCCCCGTCCTCTGGCCCTCTTTTATGTGCCCTGCCTACGTGTGTGTTCCCTGCTGGTGGCGCTGGAGGTGATGATGGTGTCGAGGGTGGTTCCGCAGGTGGGGGTTGTGGTACGGGTCCCGTTGCGGACTCCTCGGAGCGTCCTCTTCCATCTGTCCCAGCACCTGCCTCCGAAGGTTTGTTCTCAGGAACAACCTCCTTTGGTACCTCTGGTACCTTAGCTGGTGGTACCTCTGGTTTCGTCGCAACAGGCTTCGCCGCTGCACCTGCAAAAAGGAAGAAAAAAGAGTAGATGATAAAAAAAACAAAGGACACAAGTGGTACAGAAAGAAGGGTC